ACATATGCTTGTAGCCTTAAATCCATCTGCTGAAGTTTAACAACTCTAAATTCCATAATATAGTTAAGTAATTATGTATATATTGTGGATTTTTTTCCAAATACTATTTATAAAAGAAAATTATTATAAAATAAGATCAACCAGTCTTCCTTCTTGGAAATCGCAACATTATACTCTAACAATTAGTGTGACAACTGTTGACCTATCGATACTTTAATAAAAGCCGTTGCTCTATTTCAGTAACTTTTACAAGGAAAAAAACAAGAGTTTAAATAAATGTTAAAAATGATAGATATTTGATTCCTGCAAAGTTTACTATGTTGTACAATTGCTACTTATTCATATAGTTAACATATGAAGTTTCAAATCTCTCAGGGATATAGAGCTCAGGGACTCAAGTTGTGTAGTTCTAATAGACAAATGCATTTACGAGTTTACAATGAGTTTTTATTGTCTACCATACTTTTTACATTGAGTTCATTCATCTCTTCTTTAACCCTAATAATTTATATTTTTCCATATTATCCCTGACGACCTCCTTAAATCCATTCGTAAATCCCACACCAATGATTTCGGATCAGATAATATTTCAGTTAAATTGATGAAATCCTCTCTTCTATCCAATCTCCCTATCCTTACCATATCTCTAACTTTTCATTGAAAAGTTATACTTTTTAAACTGATCTTGTTCGTACAGTGAATAAAAGCTCTAATCCCACAACCTCTAATGATTTCCGCCCAATTTCCCAAATATTTAACATTTCGCAAACCTTTAGAACGACTAGTTCAATCCCAATTATCCCACTACCTCGAACAAAATAACTTTCTGAACTGCCATCAATCCGGTTTTAGACCCGACTACTCTAATCATCCCGCCCTCTTTAAAATCTCCCAAGATTTCTACACAACCATAGACCAACAGAAAATCATCATCTTTATTCTCCTTTATTATTCCAAAGCATTTTTTACTCAGCAAACCATAATATACTCCTAACCAAACTCAAAAATATCTTCCTGTCACCTGTGTAGTCTCTACCCTTATCTAGAGTAGTTCCAAAAGGTTCCTCCATATCTCCCATCCTCTATTGAGAAACATTAGAAAAATTTAAAATGTCCTTAATTGTGACAAATTGTAATATTTCTGAATAAAAAAAAAAACATCAAGACTTTGATATCCAAATAAACGTTTAAACGTAGTGAATGTGAAAGTTTAACATGGCTAAATCAACACCCAAACACAAATAAATTCGTATTAGTTGCAGAGGATTCTTTCATAAGCTCTACAAAAATATTAATCAGCATCAAATATAAAAATAAATTATGTGAAGAGTATTGTGTCTTAATCATAGATGGGTATAACCATAATTAACGAATATGATTACTTGATTACGATTACAGTGACTTTCATTATGCGATCACAGTGATCAGATTTCTTACTACGATTATAATTAGGTGATCGTACCACATTTTAGAAAAATGTATAGTGCTATCGATTCTATTATAAAATTGGCGTGGGCATTAAGTTCTATTTTCAGTTGTAATCATGTAACTATTGATTCCGATTTCGCTCATCTCTGATCTGAAGCGAGGTTAAAAAAATATATAATTATAAGATATAAGTACAAATATATATATAAATATAGAAAAGTACAATATAGCAGTAACTGGCTACAATTTCATCGCAGAAATATCATGATTTTGCAGGAACAACAAAAATCTGATTAATATTCACTTAAGATCCAAAGTTAAAACAGAGAATATTCATCGATATTCGTTTAACCAGTCACTTCTAGATGCATAAATTTAATTTTATAAGTGAATATTCATTATCTATATCACTCTAAAGTTATATTTTCTACTTTACTTCCCAACAAAACCTATTTTGAAAAAAAAAAATTACTCGTAATATTTTATTGAGAAAAAAAAAACATTTTGCCTCAATTAAGGGCATTGACTATTTAGGATATATGAAACACAAAAATACTATATATACAATAATAGAAAAATAAAATTATGTAAAAAAAAAAGAAAAGAAAATATGAGATAACAGAATAAATCAAACATTAGACAACATTTAGTAAATAAAAACACATTCATACTTTACAATATTTACAGTCAGCTGAGGGAGCTCCGAGTTGGGCCCTTTCACCCAGGCGTGGAGGATAAGGCAAGACTCCAAGAGATCCCAGCGCGTCTCTCTTAGCCGCATCACTAGGATGGGAATCCAGTGGAGGCTTACCAAATTAGATTCAAGACCCATATCGCTAATAGAACTTAGCATCGAAACTCTAATGGTTAGGCTTCTCTTTAAGTTCTTCATTTATTTATATTTTTTATAAAACACTCCGTATGCGGTTTAAACATACTTCATTATAGTTTTAATGATCAGATTACATTATTTTACCTATAATTATAATTATGTGTTGCAGCCTTCTTAATTTGTTTAGACGAGTGTTTTTTATACTTTTATACTGCTTATTTATACCCATCATAAGCTTTAGAATGAGACTTAAAATAATTCTCAAGTGGAAATATAAGCAGAAATAGCGGTCTCCCTCCAGAACGAAAGAGTCGGAGAGGAGTATTATATTTTAAATGAACCCAGACTCCAGTGCAGAAGCGAATGGCGCTGCCCGTAAACTGGCTGAGGGCGCTGTAAACTGTGGCAATAAAGGTGCTGGAACATTTAATAACGACTCAGTATAAGTGTCCTAATATCAGCTCTCAACCGCTCTTCTCACTATATCACTGGCTTCATATGGGGCTATAATAATATTTATAAAGTTCGAAACCAAGCTATAAATGCACTAAACTTTTAGTTTTATAAAAATATTCAGTGAGATTTTATCAATTATAATATTATATATATATATATATATATATATATATATATATATATATAAATATTATATTTAATTCTTTTACTTTCACTTACCCATATATCTATATATAGTAAGGAAAAATATCGCGATCGTGAAATTTTTTTAATCTAAGTTTTTGATACATTTAGAGCGCGATAAAATGACGCAAGTGCTTCAGTTTACTGAACTTCAAGGTACGTACTGACATCTTCTATGTTTTTCAATTTTTTCCAAAGTGTAGCGTGGTCTTTCATATCTGGAGGTGACTTCAATGCGAAGCACTAATATTGGGGGTCACCATGGTCTTCTCTTTGAACAAAAGTCTACACTACCGAACACACACTTCTTGATCCTTCAATCATGTCTTTTCGAGATATTTTTGTCAGTTGGCCAGAGCTCAGAAATATCTTCTATTCGCCGAGTCTTGGCGGTAATACCAATAGATTAGGAAGAGAGTGCCAAAAAAATTCCAGTTCCTTATATTTTTTAAAACTCATAAATACGAATTCAGGTTTGTCTTTTAGATCAGTAATTTGTTGACAAATGAAAGTTTAGATATTCTGTTCAGTAATCTATTTAGTTGGCCGTACCATGGTTGAATTCTTGTCATTTAAGTCTAGTATCTGGGTTTCATGTTGATCTTTGGTCTAATAGAAAGCCGTGATTATGCCGGATTTTATCTGAGAAAGGTAGATGGATGGAATTAATTTGTACTAGTACCCAGGAATTTCATCGCAGCGTAAAGGTAATATGTTTCCATTTTGATTCATTTACTTTAATGAGCTATGTATTAAACTAATGTTTAACCAGACAAAGGTATCTTTTGTAGATTTAAGAATGCTATTTCGGGATCTAAGCTGGATGATAGGATTGGTGTTATCAGCGAATTTTTCAAGGAATGTATCGCAATCAGCAAGAATGTCAGTGGTAGAGAGGATGTAAAGCACGGGATCCAAAACACTTCCTTGGGGATTACCGGCTTTCACGGGATATATATCATAAAATTCTATTCCACAGCGTACTAAAATGGAGGGAAGAGAGAAGAAGGATTGAAGGATTTGGTATAAGGACTGAGGGAGATGGATTTCAAGCTTGAAGAGCAGCCCAGGGTGCCCGATCAAAAGCATATACTGCGCCCAGAACTGCAATTCGAGCAATGTTACTAAAATTAAATGTACAGGTATGGTGCACAGTATGCAGTTACCAAAAGACCTCTACAGAGCTTTGTTCAATTTAGGGGTTGGATGAAGGAAGATGAGTAGAAAGATGACCTAAAGTGTCAGGCGGATCAGCACACTAATCACTCTTGGTCTGCGGTGTAAAAGATCAACCATAACATTCGGCAAGGACAGTAACCGCAAAGGGAGGGATCGATCTCATGACTTTGTGGGAGGATAAAATACTAACGCAGGGATCAATTTCCTGACTTCAAATTTAGGAATACTTGGGATGCTGATTATCCAGTCCTTGTATGGAGAACTGCATAAATGTTAGGAAAATATCATAACAGAAAAAGGCGGTTAGATGTAGAACTAAATATAGTATATAAAGAATATGCTGATAGGGAGGTATTTACTATCCAAAGCAAGACAGATAGGGAGAGATCATTCTTTCATGCGAAAGATAGATAACAAGAGTTGCATCCGACTATTCTGCACTTATTTTTTTATCAGTTGATTTATATGTCTTCGTATTGATTTAGTAACATACTTTTAAAACAAAAAATAAAACATACTTTTAGAATAAAAAATAAGCATTTTAAAAAGTTATATATACAACAAAAAAAATATAAAAAGCATCTTTTAATGCGAGCTTCTAATAGCGGTGCAGTCTCCTAGCGGGCCGAATCTACAAAACGTTTAGATGTACGTTTCACGAAAATCGCCTAAGCTATTGGTTAGTTTGACGTAGGTGTACTAGAACTTGATTTTTAAGCGATATGAACTTTAACTGTAAAAATAAAAATAAATGAATAACATATGCGTTTGTTCATTACTAACCTTCAACAAAAGCCGTTCCTTATCTAAAACAGAACTGTTAACAGCGTATAACCTTTTTAACAGTAATTTGTAATATATATGTATACGATATATAGTACTTTAAAACATTTATAGATTAAAATGATTAATCTTCACCTACATTTTCAATTTGATCCTCCACGGGTCTAGCAAACATCGTATCTGGAATCCAGAAGTAAACACGCCCCACAAACATAGTACCACACATTGATGAGCTAAGCATCCTGCTGACGTCTGTTTGTTATCTCTTTGTTCGTGTGTTTCCGATACCTGTCCACTCAGCATCCTCTGGACAGAAATCCTAGCCGAAGCCTTTTTAAATAACGCATTGGTTTTAGTTTTGGATTAATTGTACAGGTGTTTGTTAATTTAGTGTTAATGGAAGACAATTGACAGATGTAGGAACCATATCAAATTTGTTTTATTATTGTATGTAATGACCGGCTATAAATATTTGATTTTATTCTTAACTGATTTGAGTCTTAGTAAATTGACGTTAGTTTAAAATAAACGTAAGTTTGCTTTAATTCAATATTTATGGGAATATTAATGTTTATTTTTTATAGTTTTATAGACTATCAACATTTATAGCCGCATAGACATATTATTAGTTGCTCAATCCCTCAATCCATCTTGCAACGAACTATTTCTAATTTACATAACATGGTTCTTCCCATCCATTGTCCATTTATTAATGTTCAAAGACTGTGTCAAATCGGTATAGATTAATGGATCGTAGCTGGCCAGTGTCTGCAGGTGTATTTACACGGATTAAGATCATTTCGATCGGTGATACCTCCAGTTGGACGATGGTCTTCAACAGAGTTGGAACTGTAATTAATGAATTGTTATTAATTAATGTGTATAGTTATATCTATTATTCCCTAGTCAAATTGATCTCAGAGACGATTTTTCCTGCATCTAATAAGTAAAAAAGTATTGAGATAGCATCAAATTTTGAAGGTGCCGGTTTCAACGGTGATTTATGTTTTATTTAATCATTCCTGTGTTAGGTTTTCAGGGACTAATTGATTAATTATTCTTAATCAATGTTTTGTTGTTGTTTCTGGACGTAAAGTTGAATTAATTTTCTGTTGTCGGTGAGAAAGCCGTGTGAGTACCTTGAATACCCCTTTCAAGATTTAATTAGTCGTTTTACATACCAAAAAATTTCTTACCTAACCATGTCAAGGTAATTCTATACGCTTCAACTCTAGCGTTAATTGATGTTCATGTTCGTGTGTACACATAAATTCATTTTATAAACCAGAGATACTCAGTCAGTTATATGCAGCAAGAAGTTATTTTAATTAGTTTTGTTAGTATGGATTAGGGTAGATTATTGTCTTAGTAACTGCATATTATTTTTTGTATCTCTTTTAATGAGGAAAAAATAAGTTTTTTGTTTTGTTTGAGAAATTTTATTTAAATAAGTGGAAACAATAAATATATTTATCAGTAGAACCAAATATAATTTTGAACATATAGTAGATACTTAGTATTTTTTTAATATCTGCTTGTTATCATCATCGATTTGTTCGGTCCTCCTGAATTATGAAACACACCTTCAATATATTTCCAAGGCTAGATGGCAGAAAATTGGAATTAGGGTAGTATAACGTATTACTAAAAAAAAGTTTCAGAGATAAAGTTAGATGGAAGACCATTTAGAATTTGCAGATGCTTGCAGATCTAAAAGCTTTTCCCATTCTAGCCGTCATCTGTTCTCCAGACGTCTACTGCACGCCGCCGTCCATTTCGCTCCCAAAGCCATCTGAGTTTTCTCTTGCCCTTTTACTTTTAATAGCCTTTTCTAAATTGCTAGCAACTTTGTAAAAGATGTTTTCAAAGTTTCGAAAAAATAAATCGCACATGATGACTTTAAAATATTCAAAAATCAATTTAGAATTAAAAAACAATCAAATGTAAAATAGTGAAATATAATGTGACGATCGAGACTCTCTGACCCAAAAATTTAACTACCCGATATGTTCTTTTTAATTAAAAAGTAAAAGGTGAGATATGTGTTCTTGCTGTTTTTACAATAAAATAAAATAACCTAAAAAATAAGAAAATTAAAACTAAGAAAAAAAAAACACATGCATACCTATATACAATCAGGCGAGGGAACTCCAGGAGAACCCTGCGCTACTCTCCCAACCGCGTCACTGGTACTTAAGCCAGCGGAGATTGGTCGAGAGCACTTTAGCCACATACACTCATGTCTTGAGTGAAGAATCTGGCCATTGCCAGAACTCCAATTTATACAATCTACAAAAGGTCGCGAGGCCACTGCCGTTTCAACCTTCTTGGAGGATTATAGGGATGGGAGGTGCTTGATAGGAATTGTGCAATAGGATTTGGGTGGTATGTAAGGTTCTGGTGAAATTTGGAGAATTTTTCTGGGATAAGGTCTAGGATAAATGGGATGTTGAGGTCATGATGTAGGGTTTTGTTGGTTACATAGAAAGGAGCATCGGCTATTGTTCGAAGGACTTTTGACTGGAAGGTTTGGATGCGCTTGATGTTAGAAAATTTTGCTGATCCCCACATATGCAACTGTAATTATATAAATTTTGAATTTTATTACTTCGTGAATACAGAACAAACAAAAATTTATATTTCATATCATTAATCTCTCCTTGTTCATCTTTTCGCTTCTATCGTGTGGTCTAAAGAACACACCTTAGATTTTTATAATCATTTCACAACTCAATTTTAATTTGTTATTCAGTCTATAATAATTTTAATGTACTATATTATGTTTGATATTATACCGATTGGTTCTTCGTTTATATGTGATTTATAACGGCATGGGATTCGGTATTAATACAAATCTACCCTTGATGAATTCCATTTCTGTCAAATACACACCCCATTCAGGTAAATCCAACTTTAACATATTTGCATTCCAATATCTTGGCGTGTATTACTGTTTTACATAATATGTTAAATACTTTACAGGCATCATTTTATTAATTATATTTAAACAAATGATTGAGGCCGTGTACGCTATAAATACTTTTACTACTACTTGAATGGCAACTAATATATTTTCTTTCGTAACATGTTGAATACATCTTCAGTTTATATCCCATTACAAGGAAATTTATCAATTATCCATCATGAAAGTTCTAATTTAAACGGTAGTAAAAATAATGAATAGTAAGAACGCAGTCATTTTTGAGATCTTTATTAACATTTCAACCCAATCATGTGGGTCATCATTAGGGAGGAAAAAAATTTAATAACAGCAGAGACATCTTGAGTAATGTTGTGAGATGGTGTGGTCATTGTACGAAGAACTTATGTCTATTATGTGGTGGATTTCAGTGCCGATATATACTCTTAATGTTAATAGATGATCTCAACGATTGAATCAATTATTGAAGGAAGTGAATCGACATTAAAAAAATTAAAATCAAGTTAAATGATAGTACTAATTAACAAACCTTCTATGAACAAACTTATCATTCAGTTTGTATGTTAGATTTATACTGACTAAATTGTTTTTTTGTTTTTTTTATTAAATTAAGAATTGTTTTACTGTTTGATTAAATTTCCTAGTTAACAATTATTGGGGTTTCAGTCATTAATTTGGCGATATAGTGAGCACACCACCTTCTGAGAACATTTCAACAATTATAAACGGTTAAATATGATATTACTTTGAATAATAATGAAAAACTAATAATATTAGCAACTCCCAAAAAAAATATAAGACATAGCTATTGCAAAAATGATGAGCTTGGTTTTTATAACGGTGTAATAACAATATCTTATTACATTTTTGGTTTCGGGTACATACCTTATTACAAAAAAAAAAAAAAAAGGTAACAACAAAAACATAAATTTCTCTAAATAAATAAGACAGCTGAACATAATCTAATATTCATTGCCATATAGCTGATAAGCAATTTAAGGTTGAAAAAAAAAAAACAGTATGGTACCCGTATCACAAAAATTGACTTGCCAAACTACTTTGAGTAGAAATTCATTTTTTAGGATTATTGTAGATCTTTTGCCGCCTTAACACTCCATCTCTGACTGTCTTAGGCTACTTCTTTCCAGTTATCTACAGGCAGCTCTATCGCATCTTTGTTGATCCTTTCTATCAATTTGCGTTTTAGTCTTCCACGTGGTCTTTTGCCTTCTATTGAGGCATTCATTGTCCCAGATGGATTAGTATGAGCTACCTGCCCCGTCCATCTTCTTGTCCGTGCCTTCACCTCATGGAATATCAATTGGCCAGTTTCTGTAAACAGTTCTTTATTGGTCTTTCTTCTCCATGTGTTAGTACTCTGATTGCAGATTGCTCCGGTTATCGTGAGGAGGATTTTCCTCTCAAATATTTTAATACTTTTTTTTATATGTAGCCTGGTTAGGGCCCAGGTCTCAAAGCCAAATATTAGAACTGGTTTGTCATTGTACATCTTTAATTTGAGATTACTTGGGATTTTCGGGATTTATACCTTTGAAAAGGAGGCATACAAACACACACAAACACAAACACACACACTGTTGGGGCCAGGGGTACTTCAAAATCGAAGTACAGATCTTTCCCCGGTGCGTTTCCTCAATGGTGGGAAAATTCGAGAAAAATTAAAAAACGTTGGAAAGAAGGAGAAAAAAAAATTAGTGAATAATGTGACCTATAAAACATTAGAGAAAAAATAAAAATGCATGCAAAGAAAATAATTAAAAAATAGAATATTCAATAAATCAAATAATGGAAAAATGAAAATCCCCTTTTGAATGCTCACAATTTATTGAGATAAAAAAAATCTATTATGTCAAGAGTTAAATAAAATATTGTGGTAAAATTGCGATATAAATAAAACATAATTATAATATGCAGAGAAAATAAAACCAGATTAACCATTAATAGCCAAATATAAATAAAACCAACTTCTAAATTATAGTAAACCAGGGAAAAAATATGTCTGTGGTTAAACGGTGGAGAGAAGAATATCCCAAATTGAGGCTTTATTTCCAAAGAGGTAGTTACCTGAAGTTCAGCTTTTCGAGGTGGGGGGAATCGATATGCAATATCGATGTGCTGATCAATGACTCGAGATGATACAGCTGGAACCATCTCAAAATGGCGCAGGTGATGGTGACAATGAGCCTGGAAACTTGGTGAAAATGGTGGGGGTAGACTTCTGCTCCCTACGAAGTTGCACCAGGGACTTCCGAAAAAAACAACAGGGATTACATAGCCGGTGGGTTTGTGTTAACTGGAGCGCTGGTGGGAAGGTGAGAAATGTTGTCCACTACGTGGACACAATAACAAGGCCCACTCCAGACTGCTTAAGACTGCATCCCGGACCGTATTATGGCATTATGTGTCTA